CTCTTGGTAGCTAGTGATGGAGGCACTAGGAAGGCCCATGTACCACTAGAGGGCAGTCTCTCTGGGAGTTCTTCACGGAAACTTGCAATTGAGGAAGTTGGGGGCTCTTATGATGCTATATGCGTATTGATGGAAGTGACAAGCTTGTAGGGGTTAATGCGTCCATCGAACTTGGCTAAGGACGGAGGCTTGAACCACTTAGGGATAGGGGCTCCCCATATTTTACCCGATAGTGGCTAGGGATACAACAGTTCTGCCGCTTCTCGGAGATTGCCCTCCTGCTGGCTTTGTCTGATGATATGGACGTCATCTTCCATCATCTGGTTATGGCAGAACAATTTATCCATGGTGGCATCCATATCCGCTAGGGCGTTGACATCACTGCTACTGCTAGTACCTTCTGGCTTAGGGGATTTATCCCTTCTCTTAACTATCGCCAAGAGAGGTTAAAGTCATAAGTGAAGGCTGATAGTGAAAAGCGTGATGGTGATTAAGAGTATGTGACCTAGGTTATTTTTACTAGGGCCACACAGTGGGCACCATTATACTTGTTAAAAAGTACAAAAGGTGCATGTTCTCTCTGCAAGGGCAGTGAGACTCAGATGCCTTAGTAGGTATATTATGATTTGGTAAGTGAGGGATTGCCCACAGATGCGAGAAGTTCTATATGGTGTTTATTGAGGTTATCTGAGGGACCAGCTCATGTGAGGCGAGAGACCCTGTATGGTGGTCGGCGCTGCTAGAGTGCAGGCGAACAATTGGATTGATAAGATATTAGGGCTACCGGGAGCGTGAAGCTCTTTCATTATTGGGCAATATATGTGAAAGATAGAATGTCCATGTTTCCCTTAAGAGAAGGTATATTTATAGAGGCCTCACGGGTCTAGGTTTTCTACCTTATGGACGTGGTCTCAATCGCTCCCCCCATGTTAGGGGAGGTTGTTGACTGTCTATCTTTTTGGAGTTAGTGGAGACTTTCTCTTTACTTGACTCCTATGTTTACCTTATATTCCAGGACGCGTCATGTTTTTTTTAAATACCTTATATTCCCTCGGTTTCTCAAATAGCTCGGGGAAAACTAATTCAGAACATGCTTCGAATCCTAGCAAATGCAATTTATATTTTTATTTCTTTAAAAGTTGTTCCTTTTTATTTTATTATTTATCTGTAAATTAAATGATCTTTTCCTTCGTCTTCTTTAATAACCGAGGGGTTTAGATAATCATATTTTATTATAAAAACACTCGTAAACCCTAAGTCTAACTCATATATAGCCGCTCCAAACTTGTACACATCATTGTTGTTTCCACCTCTTGCAAGGCCATTTTTATATTTTGAAATAACCTTTCTATGCTTTCAATCAAGAAAAAACTTCATAATTTATTGCTTTTCTCAGTTGACAACATTGAGAAATTTATTCATAAACATACTGTAAATTGGAAGCAATATTGTTGTTTCAAAATACAAATTCTTGTTTGAATATTGCCACTTTTCACCTCGATTTTGTTTAACGAAAAAACTCCATAATTTACTATTTTTCTCAGTTGACAATATTGAGAAATTTATTCATAAATATACTGTAAATTGCAAGCAATATTGTTGTTTCAAAATATAAATCCTTGTTTGAATATTGCCACTTTTCACCTCGATTTTGTTTAACCATCGAGGTGAAATTATATATATATATATATATATATATATATATATATATATATATATATATATATATATATATATATATATATATATATATATATATATATATATATATATATATATATATATATATATATATATATATATATATATATATATATATATTACTTTGTAGCGTTCAGTTTCATTTTACCTAAAAACATATGATAAAACAACTTCCACAAAATCCCAGCGAAGATCTCTAAACAACGAGATTTCTAAATACATATCATCCTCCAACTCTTGGAAAAGTAAGGAAATACGAAGATGATATGTGTTTGGGATTCTTGTTCGCTTCTTTTTCTTCTTCTTCTTCTTCTTCTTCTTCTTTACATATCTGGTATGTCTAACATTACTATTCATGTTACATTAATGTTATTGTTGTTGTTGAGACCTCTTAGATGTTTAATCTTGTTGTCATTGTTTAAACTAAGATTGATGTTATAGGTTGTTGTTTTGGTTGAAATAAATATTTGGTTTATTGAGATTGGTGTTATATGTTTATTGTTGTATTTTTGTTGAGATATTTGTTTTTAGTTGTTGTTTAGATTGAGATAATGTTAATGTTGTTGTTATTTATTATTGTTTTCTATTTGTTAATATTATTCTTGTTGTTGTTTAGTTGGTATACTTAGCAAAATTTTGAAATCTATATGTTTAGGGTTTATTTATTTTTATTGAGTTTGCTTTTGAGATTGAGGATAAGATTATGTGTTTTGTGATTCTTTGTGCAATTCTCATTGTTCCTCTAAATATGTCCGAGGACATTATAGTCACATAAAATACAGTTGAGTTTATAATATCTAATGTCAATTGTTTGTTAACTAATCCTTTTTTGAACATATAATCTATTAAATTGTTTTTTAGATATAATAATACGAACAATTATAATGTATTTAAAAAACATCTTACATTAATCAATGTTTTTCGAGCATTTTACAACTCATCATTTATCTCACATTCTTTAGTCGTTAAAATATCTTCAATGCTTTTAGTTTTCGCTTAGCTTTCTTCCATACTTGTTGAGTGAACAAATATGAAAGAAACTTCAATTCATAGATTACATTTCTTATAAGTTATAAGTTTTATCAAACATTTCAACTAGCTTGTCAAACAAATAATTTTCTAGGAATATGTTAGATTAAAACCAAATATGAGTAAGAATAAATGTTAATGCTACTCAGATATAAGGATTGTTTTTCAAAGAGCCGACTAAGAGTCATATACTAGACTACACTGTCCAAACACTGCCATCCCCATGTACCAACTCTCTCCCAAGTTCAATGCTAAAAAATTCTTTATATTATCCTTCAAATCGAACTTAGTAGAAATTGACAAAGACTATAATTGAAGTTGTTAGTATAGTAGTAAGAGATGGGTATATTATTCCTTAGTCCCACTCTGTACCAGAAAAAAGAAAAAGATAGTAAAGCATATACAAGAAGAGGACAAAATGTGGGCACCAATTGTTTTATAGTTTGTAACGTAAATAAATTTGCCAAATTGAGCCCACTTGAATCATCAAACCTAGCTGGAATATTATTTACCAACCAACACCTTAATCTCTTGATGTTTCATTATGCCATATTGTCATGCCTTTATCAAATCAATACAAGAAAACCAACATATATACCTAAATCTTTTCTAATCTAGTACCGGATTCATTTCATTTATTCTTTGGTGATTTTTTAATATGATATTATATAAGAAAGCTTGTATTGTTATGTTAATTATTGTTTTATGACTTTAGAGAACAGGAATCAAACTAAAAATCATGTCCACCAACCTTATATAATTTTGTATACCATATAAGTATCATCATCAGTGATTCAGTTCTGTTCAATTATATAATTATTATAATTGTATATTACCTATCTTATACTAGATCAACGTGACAGAAAACAAATAAATTTGAAATCCAAGATATGTTCTTTCAATCATGTTTAGATTATTCACAATTTATGGGTTATTTTTATTAGAAAGACAAAATGAATTCAACATTTTAGACATATTCGTTTTATCCACGGATAAAAAATTTAAATCTGCATTTTTTAATGTGTTTGTTTCGTCATTTTTTTATATAAAATTTTTGCCTGCAAGAATACTATTATAATTTTGTTTTTATATTTTTAAGTTTAAAATATGTAAGATTTACTGAATTTCACCATCATTTTTTATAAATTGTATCAAAATTTTAAGTTTGCACTCTCAATTATATTTGTTTTTCCGCGCCTTACGAGTTTTGGATAGCCAACTTAAATGAGACAATTGCCCTTTTACCCCTCCTAATTTATATCTTTAAGTGAAATAATTACTTTGACACAAATGATAGTTATTTAGGCGCAATACAGAAATAATACTCTCTTGATATTAAAATAAGTGTCTATTTTTAGAAGAAAAAAAGTTGTTCTATAATAAATATTTCTTTTATTTTTCAAATATAATATTAATTAATTTTATTAACTTTACTCTTAAAAAATATTGTATGCGCTGCTATTTTCCGATTAGCACAATTTTATTAAATTATTATATTTATTTATTTAATCATTATTTTTTTAAAAAATTTATGTGTAACACTCTAAAATATTTTAATTTTAAATGAGAGGAAGTACATGATTTAATTATTTTTTTATTTAATTATGTTAAAAAGATACATTAATTTACTTGATTAATTTTTTTATTCTACTTTTTGTATGAGTATTTTGTGTCTTAATTTTTGTGACCAAACACTCTACTTTTAAACCCATTTTATTGGATAAACTCTAATCTAGAATTGTTTGATCAAAATTAAATGGTACTTCTTTGTTTAAAAATAGTATAGTTTTACAAAATGAACGAAGATTATTATTTTTTAATTTTATTATTTATATATATTATTTTTAATATATATATAAAATAAATTTAATAAAAATATAATATCTTATGACAATATTATTAATGATATTAAATTATTCATCGCGGAAGGCAGAAAACTTATAAAATCATAAATGATAAAATAAGTACACAAAAAGAGAGGGCAGACATGTAAAAACACAAGAAAACGTTGGCAATCCCAAAAACCTCTCAGAAGATGCCAACAAAATAGCAAATGGTTTTTCAATTCCCCAACAAATTTCACACTCTTAGCTGTGTTCTAAACAGTGGGCCATGCACGTGTTTACTCCCTCACTTCACATCATCACTCTTCTCTTCAAACGATCCCTCCTTTATAACCAACCTTCCTCCCCTCATCTTCTCATCACTCCTCTCCCCATTTCCATTTTTCTCATTGACACATTTCATCAAACACCTTCCCCTCTCCCAAAATGGCCAAGCTTGCAAAACTAACAAAACTCAAATCCGCCATCAAAAGATGGCCATCCTTAACCAAACTAACCCGCAACAGCAGCTCCGTGTCTTCCTCCTCCAAGCAACACGAACACGAACACGAACAACACCTTCACGCTGTCTTCGTCGGAAAGTCGCGGCGACGGTACCTCGTGAACTCTGAAGTTGTTCAACATCCTGTTTTTCAGGAGCTGGTGGATAGGTCTTGTTGTGAGGATGGTGTTGTGGTTGTTTCTTGTGAAGTTGTTTTGTTTGAACATTTGTTGTGGATGCTTGAGAGTGGGGGAAATGAGACACAGTTGGGATCCATGGATGAACTTGTTGAGTTCTACGATTGTGGTGCATGTTGATTATGCTTTGGTGACATAGCTAGATAGTAATAACAGTAAGTAACTGACATCGATTGTTTTGTTTTGTTTTGTTATGGTGATTAAAAGAATAGGTGAAGTGGTCAATTGAGATTGATTAAGTGTATTTAAGTGGTTTTATTTATATATATATATATATATTATACTATTGCCATGAGCATTGTGTTAAGCATAAATAATGATTTTGATGTATTTTTTTTATTTTTAACTTAATGTGCTCTGAGTTATATATTTGATTTTTTTTTTCATTTCTTAAATCTCAATTACATATTTATTATGAATAAGTGCTAATTGTCATCAAGTCTTGTTACAAACATAATATTGATATGGTTTGATTTTTTTCTTCTTCTTTTATTAGCATTGTCAAACGAATAAGAAACTTAGTTGCCTTCTTTTTATAGGCGATAAAAATAATTATTTTAAAATTTTGATTTATTGTTTGAGGGAATACAATATTGTTATGTATGAATTTTTATATTTTTTTTTTATAAAAGAACAATTGTTTCTGATGTTAAAAAATTAAAAATCTGAAAGACAAATGATATAAAATTATATTGATTGGTGGAATATGTTTTCTCATATTTGATCACTTTACTTGAATCAAAATTGAGACTACCTCACAATAAAACCTCAAACCCTCAATCTCACTAGTGTCGAAACCTCAATCATGCTTATACATGTATGTTTCTCTCCTACCCACTCGTACACTAGACATTTGTTGGCCTAAGTGCCGATTTCTCCTTCTGTGGATCAGTTAAGAAATTCACGAACATCTATTTCTTTCATAGATACTCTGCCCTACCAAAATATATCAAATAAGATATATCTAACAAAATTATGTATGTATTTGAAGCTTGTAAGCTCCATGCAGTATTTTGTGTGTTCCCTAAATGTAGCCAAACATATCTTGTTAGATCATCATGAGGAGCATCCGCGAGCAACACACAAGTGAAAGAGATACCTCATATTCACCAAAAATCTTAAGGTAATAGAGTTATGGATCTTTTCACTTATAAAGTGCTAAACCTTCACTTTTTTAAAAAAATATGAGACTTTCAACTCTTTCTTGTACAAAACAATCATGCCCTCAAAAGTGAGTCCATCCATTATTCTCCTCTTCAAGCGGAAGCTTTTTTCATCCACATACACGTGTATCTTCGTTGGGACACTTCAACGAGACACACCGTCTGGCCATAGACTTGTCATGAAGATTTTTGATACAAGGAATCAATCCCTTAATTGAACTATCAACTCTGGTACCACTATTGGGTCATCATGAGAAGCATCAACATTGGATCAAAAGCAACACGCAAGTAAAATAAACACCACATATTCACCTAAAACTTTAAGGTGATAGGTGTATGAGTCCTCTAACTTATAAAATGTTCAACCTCCATTTTCTAAGCAATGTGGAACTTGCAACTCACACTTGTAGACATCACATCTTGCGACAAACGATACAAACCACATTAATAAGAGATAGGAGAATAATAACTTAATATTTAAAGATACTACAATACTCTTCATGGGACATATGTTGGCCCAATCGATCAACAGGAATAACAAGGAGAAAATCTTAAACATACACTTCTTGCAAAGAACAAAATCCTACTTTATACGTTGTGGTCATGTCAAACTTTATATCTATATCTTGAATACTTTTATTAAAAATGGCATTCTTCAAAATATATTGTGCTTTATGAGGGATGATGTTCTTGTTAGTAAAAACGGTTAGATCTGTTCATAACTTTATTATTTCTATCGATATAGAAATCGAGAACATAACTCTAAAATGATCCCTATGAGTCGATATACCATCAACTTATATCCCTTAAGTTCATATCAGAATTCAATCAGAAAATAAAAGCGGAAGCCTACCTGAATTTTCCATTGAAATCGTTGAAGATTGTGGGTATGTGATATTTCGATTTATAGAGTTGCTTAGGGTTTCTTGAATCTCCCCTGATGGGATGAAGAGAGAAAACATGATAAACCGTATTTTGATCGTTCTCTATAAATGGGGACCATAACCCATTTAAATAATCCTAGGGTTATTTCTTAGTTTTCAATATTTTAATTTGGCCCCTCATCAAAATATATATTAACTTATGCTATCTACACAATAACCTGACCTTTCATGACATTTATGCTTTTAGCCACAAATTTACTATTATATTAATTAGACCCCTTTAAGTTTCGACTAATTAAAATAATGACATTAACTTCTTACATGTTACACTTGTGATCCAAAATTATAACAATCTCCTACTGGTCACATATGTAACTTTACATGCGTGTTAGACATTATGAGCTCAAAATTTGCCATTACATACTTCAAGCATATTGAAATTATCTTGTCCATTAATCGTGCCACTATTCAGAACCAAAGTGATTTTTGTTATATCAATCATAACTAAATCCATCAATGATCACTGATAGTGACACAACTAAAAGATATAGATCCATCATAAAATATGTAGCACGAAAATCACATGAAGTTAGTCTGTATATGTCGATTTCCAAATGGTCATACTTTACTCTAGTGAGATCATTCAATAAATTTATTATACAAAATGTAAACTGATAACTATCAAACTTTATTATTTTGGAAAATATTTGAAATTATATTATGCATACATAATACCAAACACAAAACATAAAATTCATAATAGACTAACTCCCACTAAACCAAAGAATGTGGTTTAGTGGATGTTCCCGTATAAAAAATTGAATTTAATTTGAGATTGTAAAATTTGTAGCCCCCAAATCTTTAAGAATAGCCCATAAAGTAATTAATCACTGTTTCGGGGTCCAATTTATTTTCATTTGGCCTATAAGGCCTTGCGCAGCTGGACATCCCCACACATGAAAATGTTTGAGACTAGACTTTCGCCCAGTCCAAAGTTCATAAGGTATTTTAGCAACTTCTTTTGTTGGTAATCTATTTAGAATATAAGCTGCATTCTTTATTGTCTCTCTCTAGAGTGACTCTAACAAGATAGAATGGAAAATCACACTCCTTATCATATCCTTAAGAGTCCGATTTTGTCTTTCAGCGGAACCATTCACGCTAGGAGATCCTGGCATGGTGTATCGTGGGACGATTCCACATTCCTCCAGGTATTTGGCAAAAGGTCATGGACGTTGTTCACCTGAACCGCCATATCTACCATAATATTCACCGCCACGATCAGATTTGACTTTCTTAATTCTTTTGTTAAGTTGATTCTCAACTTCAACCTTAAACGATGTGAACACATCCAATGACTGGGACTTTCATGTATAAGAAATATGTACGCGTATCTAGAATAACCGTCTATGAATGATATAAAGAATTGTTGACAATTTCAAGAAGGTATTGAAAATGGTCCACAAATGTCTGTATGTACCAATTCTAAGATATTCGTAGCTCTATATGCACCAAATTTATTTATTTTGGTATGTTTACCTTTAATGCATTCAACACAAATATCAAAGTTTGTGAAGTCAATGGAATCCAAAATTCCATATGACACTAGTCGCTCAACTCTATTTTTAGAGATGTGACCTAGGCGTTTGTGTCATAATGCTCTTGAATTATTATCATTAATTTTACGTTTAGTACCTCGTGATTCCACATTCAAGGATTCGCCATAGGTAGTTATTGTGTCAAAAAAAATATAGATTATCATGACCCATAAGTGAATCTGTTCCAACAATGTTTGAATTGAAAGAGAACTTGAACATACTCTTTCTAAATGAACAAAAATAATCTGATTTGTCCAAATAAAAAACTGATGTCAAATTTCGTCTAAATGACGGAACCACAAAAGTATCTTTAAATTCAAATAAAATCTAGTACACATTAATAATCTAAAATGACCTATAACTTCCACCTCCATCGACTTGCCATCTCCAACATAGATGTATCTTTCAACATCATTTGCCTTCCGGTAATTCAGGCAACCCCTCATTGAGACACTGATGTTAGTAGTTGCACTAGAGTCTAACCACCAAGTGTTTCCAGGTACTGAAGTTAAATTGACCTCAGAACAAACCAAACCATGACTCATGTAATTGGAGCGATCCTACTTCTCATAATCTTTCCTCTGTTCAGAGATATCAAATTCCATAGGAGAAGGAAGTTGTTTCATCCTTAATACAAGGTCAAGATCCATGCAGCCAAGAATAAGTTCCATGTTCTTATTCCAATCCTTCAAATTTGTCTCATTAAGGATCGAAATTGAATTCAGATTAACAGATATTGAAACAATTGTAGCTGAAAAATAGAACATAATAAACACTATAAGTATGCTCGCATAAAAAATTAAATTATCAGTTTGTTCAAATAAAGGCATAACCCATCTCAAGATACCTAGTGCACCATCAATATTGAGTCTTTGAAAAATAATATTAACTGCTAGTAGTACTCTTGTTGTAACGATCAAACATTGATAATAAAAAACATGTTGAATAATAAACCCCTCTTTGGATTAATTTATTATTCACATTTGAAACCTTATAATTATCACATATTTACCATCATGGACGCGTATGAAAGTCGGCAAACTACCAACTGTCTTTTGGGTTAATTGATACTCGCATGGACAAACATACACACAACCAGAAAATTATTCAACATTTTGCATAAGCAGTCTCCATAAAAGAGGCCACTTTGCCGACTTTTTCATTTTAACAACTCACGAAAAGAAAGGTTAAATTAAAAACCATAGCCAAAACTTGAACAAAATTACACCAAAGTTAATGATTAAATAAAATAAATTATTACCATATTATTCATAATGTTATTAACAAATTATTAGAATTCAATAATTTTAATATTTCTACATACAATGCTCTATGGTTAGACATAAATAATTTTTCCAAAGGTAATATAATGCAGTCATCTCAAGAAGCATATTTACTCATGTAATGAAAAGTTTTGGAATCACATATATAACAATTGTTATCGAACTTTATCCTAAATTACCGGAATTAAACCA